CTAGCCCTGTAGCAAACTTGTGGCAAGCATTATCTCCATTTTACCCATGAGAGAAGAGACAGATTAACCCTTTGAGAGCTGCAGTTACTAGAATGAAATCAGTTTTTGTCAAGACAAAAAAAAAAACCCAAAACCTAGAGAGCACAAGGGGAAAGACTCGTGTTTGGATGACTGAGTTAAAGACTGTCTCAAGGACTTTCTAAAATAACCTCCTGAGAAATCCTTTCTTTACAACTGCAGCAATTCAGATAAGATGTTCTCAAAAGAACACTTGCCCAGTAACTGCATCTCCACCAAAGAACTAACACCAACTCTGACTTTGAGTTTCCAAATCCACTGAATTCTGTTTCCAAGTAGTTTCTGTGAACTTCTCCTTGTGCAGTAAGAGCCTTCTTTTACCCGTCCCTCTTCAGATGCATAAGTGGCTAGACAGCTGTGCATCCCAGGTTATCATCTTCATCTCTAATCCCCAAATAAATACAACATGTTTGCTGATAGTTTTTCTTTGTTTCTTTTTTTTTCTTTTTGTTGTTGTTTTGGTTGACAACCTCTTGATTTTCTGAAGGTTGCACAGCTAATATATGGTGGTGTTGAAGTGTGAACCCTGATCACTTGTCAAAAGTCCATGCCATTTCATGTTTGGTCCCATTGGAAGACTATCCTTCAGTTAATAGCCTTCTCTTAGGTTTGTTGTTCCTCTTTACACTCCAAAATCCACATTAGCCTGACTTGATTCCCTCCCTGGTTATTCCATATTGGCATTTGGTGCTTTATTATAAGAATTGGTTGAAATAAAATAAAATATCAAGATCATAGCCATCTTTGGGGGGAAAAAACAGTTCTAAAATGTTACAAGCATTCAAAGATCTATCTGACATATCAAAAGAACAATCTCTGGGCACTGAAGTAGCTACAATTTTATTTTCTAAGAAATTACAAAGAATGGGAGGAAGAAAATGTTTTTTAGAAGTAAATGAAAAACTGGACTGGCTATGCATTAAGAATGGTAATGCAATACTAATAGGTACTGCTATACAAAGTCATTTTTCAGTCAGCTGCTTTGTTTAATGTGCAGATTTCCGTTTAAATCGATAGCACTTACTTTGCTCTGTTCAGTAGAAAGCATTTGCATTCCGGTAAAATACACACACACACACATACATACACACACACACACACACACACACACACACACACACACACACACAATGAGAATGGAAATGAGTCAGCCATTTCCTGTCCCAAGATTCAAATCTACTTTGCTTTTTGAAAACATGATTCAAGCTATCCAACAATAATTTAATTGGCTGTTCTGTAAATTACAGGGCTAACCACCATATAAACACCAGAGAAGTACATGTGGGCATTAGTCATAAGCTGTCATTTTTCTGATAATCTCCAGAACTCTCTACTTAAATAATCACAAAGCATTATATTACACAGGGTAATGGAAAAGTAAGTCTGTTTTTCTATACAAACTTCACTTTTGTCATTTTTTGCATAATATATATCATAAATGTATAACTCAACTGTCAGCAAAGGTATCCGAAATACGACAATAAGAGTGCTTATGATAACCTCTGGTGTGAAGGGATGGGATCCTGATATGACAAGTCTATTTGATAAGTGTTAAATGGTGATTTTCAAGGGGATTGGTGTCAACTAGGAAACACGTGTGCCACAGGGCTCTCTCTCTCAGTCTCTCCCTGTTCTGTTTGATATGTTTGTTCTGGGCTCAGATAAAAACACCAAAGATAAGTTTATCTTATCTGTGAACGACACACAATTGAAACAATAGAGCCGGTTCGGTGGCTCAGCCTGTAATCCAGTGCCTTTGGGAAGCTGAGGTGAGTGGATTGCCTGAGCCCGCGGGTTCGAGACCCGCCTAGGCAACTTGGCGAGACCTCATCTCTACAATAAATAAAAAAAATCAGCCGGGCATGGTAGCGCATGCCTGTAATTCCACCTACTCGGAAGGCTGAGGTGGAAGGATCGCCGGAGCCCAGCAGGTCGAGGCTGTGGTGGCCGGGAGCAGCCACTGCACTCCAGTCTGGGTGACAGAGTGAGACTCCAACTCAAAAAAAAAAAAAAAAAAGAAAAAGAAAAAGAAAACAGAATGGGTGATAGAATCAGTATACCAAATATGACATGCTGATATAACAGTCAGACTCTAACAATAGAAGATTCAACAGGTATGACAGCATGTCTTGCTTTTTGGTGTGAAAAAAAGACATAATTTAAAAAATGGGAAATACATGGTGAATAATATGGAAAACTGTATATTAAAGTGGTGGCTTGGAAGTTACGAATTTACAGTTAGCTCACTATTTGCCAACAATGTGTATGGTTGGCTGTCAGAAAAAGCTAATAAGATTTTGGGTTGCATTACAAATTAAAGTATCTGAGTTGAAAGTTTTGAGCCCAATTGAAGTCTCCACTCTGTTTTGGTCAGATCACCCCTTAACCATTAGGTTGATTTTGAATGATGCATTCTTAGAATGATAGAGACTGAGTGGCACTTCTTAGAAGAACCAACATGACGGTAAATAAATAAATTTTTTTTTAAAAAAAGAATGAAGGCAAAAGAAGTAACATGCTATAAATGACAGACATGACTGACATGCCTGGAAAAAAATAAAACTTAGTATGAGGCAAGGAAATAATAGATAGATTCTATAAAATATTTAGATGTCTGTCATTTTAAAATTTACAAATAGTAACAATATGTAGAAGAATCCATGAGTACAAATTTATTTGAATTATTATTATTATTGAGAAAGGGTCTTTGCTGTCCAGGCTGGAGTGCAGTGGCTATTCACAGGCACAATCATATCATAGCACAATATAGCCTTGAACTCCTGCACTCAAGCGATCCTCCCACCTCAGCCTCCCAAGTAACTGGGACTACAGGTGCATGCCACTGTGCCCTCACCAGACATTTTTATGCTCAACAATTAAATGCTGCAACTTGAAGAATTATACATTTCAGAGCAATTGTATCATTATATTTAGGATCTCAATAACATTTCCTTTGGTCATTCATCTTTCTAATTCTTGAAGCCTCTTAATGTGCTCACAAGATGCCATATGTTATCATCGCTCAATTTTGTGTTGAAATTTTTATTTCTAGCTCTTAGAAAAAGGCAGACCCAATGAAAAATGTGGATTTAGCTTTCTCTTTTATTTTTCCTAAGCAGGAGACTTCCAAAAATATTTACTGGTTATAAAAAGAGAACCTAAGTGACTTATAATAATATCCTAATGTCTTCTTGAAAGAATTATTGTGTTTTTTCAAGGCTTTAACTTATGATCACAAATGATTATCATTAAGTGACCATCTTGGGGCAGACTCAATAGTGGAAAGTTGTATGCAAAACTGTGATATAGTACTAATTTCCCTAAATTTTAGAATCCTACATTCGAAAGCTAAATATGTTGAACACCATGAACCCTTGAAACTTTGAGTTTAAGATTTTCCTTTAAAAATAATTTTTTTTTCTGAGGACATGAGAACAGTATTACTTTATTTAGCTTGAGTGAACCCAAAATAGAAAGAGGAAATAAGAAAAAGAGTGAACATGTATCTTTCCTTGCTGCCCATTCATGCCAAACTGATGTGTCTTAAAAGTACAAATCACTTACAATGAGGAAAATATCTTTAAAATGATTACACTTATTTTCAGAGAGAGAGATGCCTAATAGTCTCAATAATTTCCTTGGAATAGATGATCATGCTGATTGTACTATGTATTGCCATTTTACAAACAAGCAAACATGGCATTTTATAGCTGCGCAGGAAGGAAGTTTATTGAAAGTAGGTATTAATGTTCCATTTATATCCCACCTCTCTGAAAAGGCCCCAAATCTAGAGAGAATACAGGGTGGAGAATTTCACTTCCAATTTAGACATCTCTCCCAACTCCAGAGGAAGCTTCTCAGCTGATCTCTCATGCCGTTGAAACTGAACTGGACAAACTAAGTGTGATGAGCCGCTGGGCCAAGGGCCCAGACTGGAAAACACATGGACTACTGGACTGGAGAGACTCTGCCTCGTGTCAGAAACATTTTAGTGTGAGAACTAAAAGGAACCTTCCCTGGATCTGATGTTGGTCAAAATACTGATACACTTAGATGTTCTTTAAGCAGTTCCAATTTAGGGGAAAATTCTAAGAAAATGCCAGAATCTGAACTAGCATTCTTAGTTATTGCTTCAACAGCTGTTACATGTACAGTGAATAATTGTTTGATTGGGTTTCTTAGAGCAGCTCCCGACACAAGACAATGAGGCAACACTACATGAAATCTCCCTGAAATTAAAGTTATTCTGCTTTGCTTAAGCCAAGAGAAAATGACAATCATCTGCCAACACTGGCAAGAGTGATTAAGGCTTCTAGGAAAATCCCTTTAAAGAAACTATGTGTGGAAGGGTAAAAATAAAATAAAATAAAATCTTTGTCATAATTTTGGAAACTCTGAATTTCAGACTAAGATTTTGAGATTCTTACTTATCACGTCTTCAATCACCTATTTTACTTTTGATGAAACTAGGTTTTAAATAGAAGAAATATCTTACTGAACATCACACTACTGAGACCAGATCTAGCTTGTGATCAAACATGTTCCTGGCAGGCTCAGTGGCTCACACCTGTAATCCCAGCACTTTGGGAGGTCAAAGTGGGAAGATTGCTTGAACCCTGGAGTTTGAGCCCAGCCTGGATAACATAGTGTGATCTCGTCTCCACGAAAATTTTTTTAAAAATTAGACAGGCATGGTGGCATGCCTGTAGTCACAGCTACTCGGGAAGCTGAGGCAGGAAGATTGCTTAAGTCCAGGAAGTAGAGGCTGGGGTGAGTCGGGATGGCACCACTACTCTCCAGCCTGGGTGGCAGAGTGAGACCCTGTCTCAAAAATAAAAATAAAAATATGTTCCTTGAGAACAGACAGCCTACCAGAGTGACTTAGCACTCATGACATCCCAAAACAGTACCTTCCACAGTACCTTTCATGGTGGGTGCTGTGTATACGCTTTGCTTCCTTTGCTTAGGGGACACATTCTGTGACTGTGGAGAAAGAGAAAAAGGTAAATCTTAGATTTGGATATAAAATACAATGCCATCATTCCTATGAGGGAAATAAACACCGTGCTATGTTTCAAAGAGCTTTTTGATTCCCTACAGGATTCTAACCAGTGAGAAATTATATTATATGCTCAGTAATATCACAGGCTTAAGAGATATATGAAGCTAGGGGCCTATTTTATCATAAGTTTCTTCATCTACCGCAGTTTTGAAATTATTCATCTTATGTCCTCATCTTGTAACGTGAATTTATTTTTAAAAGAAAGAGAAAAAAATGACATCAATCCTTTCTATTTGAGAGGAAAACATGGTTCCATGACAAAGTATACTCCAAAAGATATGTCCATAGGATAATAATACCAATTTACAGGATTTGTGAGTGGTTCAGGAGGGATAATGAGGGTCCTTGGTAAGTAATACCAATCTATAACCCTCTTGAATTGACGTGTTCAATCTATTATCTCCATTTACTTGGGATTACAATGTTGAAGTAATATTCTCTTGTATGTTTAAAAAAAAAAAGTCCTTTTCTTACAAAACAGCTATGTAACACTCTGATCTAAGCACACTGGATTTGGATTAAGTTATTAAAGAAAGGATTTTGAATTTAAAATGATAAAATAGGAACATATTTTCAGGGTCAAAATTATAGATAATGATATGAAACTATATATAATGGATATAAATATTAGCAATGGATATAAATATATGTAGTCTATACCCCAATTAGGTAACTCCAAAGACTCTTTTTTTGATAGCATGTTGATTTATGATTTAATGTGGCAAGGATAGGGGTCTTAATCAATATTAGTGTCTGGAGCAATTATTTTTTTCTTTGAAAAGCCCAAGTATAAGTAGTTACAAGATGCTTCTTGAGGATTATTCTAGACTTTTCATACATAATGTACAGAGTTTGAAAGAAACTAGAAACTTTCACAAAGCAGTAAAGAGAATTTGAGGCATCTTTCCTTGTGCATATTAAAGCTTAAGTGTCCTCAAAATTGTTGTCAAGATATTGATATTTACTTGAGGCAAAAGGAATCCACCAAAAAGTTTAAAATTCAGCAAAATGGTAGCCAAATCCATATCAACAAGCAAGTTCCCCCAGAATAGAATGTTTTGGTACCAGTATGTTATGTACAGATATAGAAAAGGCAACTCCACATTAATGTAAAATGTGTGAGTGATTAATGTTTCTGGGGCTCCTCTATTGTTTTGGTCACATTTGATTGATTTTTAGAAGCAAGCACTTCTGGGATTTCTTATATATTTACTTCCATACACATATTAAAGATCAAGTGGAAAAAGAATTCTATAGAAGAGTTCTTGTTCTCATTGTTTGGTAACAGTGATAACACTTATTAGGTAATACTATTTAATAAGTATTTGTATTTATGTAAGAGTTTAGTTTTCAAAACACTTCCACATTTACTATCTCATTAAATTGTTAGAAAAGTCTTGTGACACACTATTTGATATTTTGTCTTTTCTACATTTTCCTCTTTAAAGGATTGCTATATGCCTATTTATGCAATCATAGGAATTGATTATTAAGTGTACACAGTATCCTATTTGATGTTTGTTTCATTTCTGGGCACAAGTTTACTCATTTCGTGTTCTATGTATTCTATACCATCAGCTCCCCTAGCCTCCCCTGGGTCCTATTTTCTATCTAAACTCTTATATAAGTATGTGGAGGGAGTAGGGAGTGAGTGTTGAGATGAGCTGCTGAATTTGAATCCGAATCCATTTCTAGGTAAAATCCTTGGATCTAGTTACCAAGTCCTTAGAGAACTTTAGTAATCCCAGACTCTGGCCCCAGGATCTACTTTGGCTCCACATACCAGAAGACCCTGTAAGCAGCGTCAGTCCCCCACCTCCATTTCCTTGCTCTGTGATCCCAACATTGCCTGGCACTAGCCTGTGGTGTGCACATACAGTTGCCCAATAAATGGAAGTTCTCGATGCCATTATCTTGCCATTAAAAGAAAGATTCTATTTTAGAAGTTTTTGCAGGGGTTAGCATTCTGTAAGTAGAGAATCTAGGCAACTCAGAGGTAGAGGTTTCAATGACACTATGTTACTGTTTGTTCAGTCAGGAAAAACAATTTAAATAGTTGCTACATTACAGTTATATTTATATAATATTTCATAACTCATTGAAGTTATATTTATATCATATTTTATATCACATAAAATCAAGCTAATTGTGTTTTTAATGGACTTTAGCACATTTTTTTTACAAAATATAAAATGAACTTACTTCCCCTTGTGTGTTGGCCACCCTCTTGTCATCTATTTCTGCAAAAGAAGTAGGTTTAAGTTATTAAAAATGTAATGTTCTTCCTGGTAATATACATATTAACATTTTCAACAACACTTATCAAAATGATTTAATAATTGCCCTATGCTTATAAAACAACTGTTTCTTTGAGGTGAGTCCTGTGGTTTCCTTCTGAGATAAACTTCTCCAAAAGGTTTAAAAGAAATAGAGAAAAGCATTGTTCCTGACATCCCAGATTTCCTAGCTTCCAGTAGTCCAGAAGGAAGACCAGGGAAATGACCCATAGAGTAAGTGTTGGTGTTATCAGCCTCACAGGCTGACATTCCAACCTCCTCTCCTCACTGATTCTGCTACTACCATCACTCTCCATTGACTCTGTCAAATTTCCTTAGGGTTGTCACTAACCACAACACATCTTCTTTCCCACTCAGCCCAATCACCATGACCCCAAGGAAGGTAGTACTCTTTCTTCTATATGCCCCTGGAAATAACCAGTTGCTCTATTAAATATTTCTGATGATCATGTTTGGGCAACTTCTACATAGTCTGTGTCTAAATGGTTGTGAGGAAAGATTGGGGGTGGAGGAGGAGGTGCTCATGTATACCCCTTCCACAGACACAATGGAAGGATGCTCTGGGCTGGGCTTCTTCTCTACCTTCTCACCTACATTGCATGAATTCTGTCTCCTGGCTTCTTGACCTAGTTACTTTTTCCTAATTCTTTTTTTAATCCCAAAGCAAAAATATTGAGCACAAGTTCCAAAAACTGAATGAGGAGTTCATTAAATAATATATGTTAAAAGACAATACAAGATCTGTATTGACATTAAAACATATGCTCTATAAGTGAACAATATTTCAAATTTAGATGAATAGTATTTTTATTTTATAAAGCATAATTATAGAGAGATGCAGATATATGCATAGTCAGATGACAATATGTAGTTATCTCTAGGTGATTGATTAACACATTTTGTTTTATCCCTATCTGTGCTTTGTAAAAAAAATAATGATCATGCAATGCTTTTATAACAAAAAAGCAGTGTAAATGTATGTATGCAAATATATATATAGAAAAATTTCTGTATAAGTTCAACTATGCATGAAGTTGATATTTCATATAGTAAGAGACAAAAATGGTTAAACAAGTACAATGAATAGTATATGGAACTATTGTTTATGCTAACCTGATGTCTTGGTTACTAGATTTTTTATAAGTTATGAAACTGATAAAGTTTACTTCCTCTTTATAGGGGCAGAAAAATAGGGAACTATTGGCTTAAGATAGCAATCACAAGTGTTTGATGTAGTCACCGGAAGTATATGAGGCATTATCAGGCAACTGTGAATATACTAAATTGAACTGTTTTGTCTATCAATGTGAAGTCTTTGGTCATCACATTGTAATGAACTATTAAGTATGATTCACTATAACAATGCATGTAATCTATGTGATCTACTGGATTATCAAATGCCCATGGGTTTTCTTAATATTATGTTTATGCCTTAAGAGTTTTCAAAATTCAATCCAGGACCTATAATTTTACATTTTAGGAACACAGTAGAACCCAGTTATTCAGCTTTGCATTTTTTCTGTTGTCAGACTATAACACCTACTAAAATAGTATCTTTCCTAAGCAACAAAGAGAACGTCACTTGTTATAAAATTCAATGAAAATAGTTTGTTGTTGTTGCTGTTGTTGAGTTATGTTGACATAAATCAACTATGGCATGAAGACAAGGATTGAGAAAACTCAGTCCTGCATTCATATCTTAAAATTGAAGAGTGAAAATTAAATGACTTTCAAGTCAAAGTGACTTAGACAAAAGTACAAGGCACGCCAAGAACAGATCGTGGTTTTCTTGAGATCCACTAATTTATGTACATTTCTATTTCCCTAAATGGATTGTTACTAAATTGGGGCAGTTAATTTTTTATGCTTCCCGAGAACTTCACGTGAACACACACACACAACATGCTCATAGGGTACACAACGGGATAGCAGACAGACATAAACACAAAGTTGTCCCTATTTTGTACCAAGGACATTGCAACCAAAGGAGGAGACACAAAAAAATATACACAAACCTTGCCAACTCTTTATACAAAAACATCAAAATGACGTTTACAATGTCTCTATGTCCTTCTATGTCCTCATCAGGGCTTTAAATTGTGACCCCATGGCCAATCTCAGAAGTATTCATAAAAGTAGGATCTCCATAAGATGTAAAAATAGACCCTTGTCTTCAAATACTGTTTAGCTTTATCTTTAAACCAGAAAAAGAAATAAATACTATTTTGGAATAGTGTTGAACAAGACCAGTTTGTTAACTGATGAGAGGATTGCTACCAGATTATCCATAATCAAAAGTTATAAATTGTCTGAAAGAGACTGTTGTACCTATTCCAACTATATCTTATCTTTATTTTTTTCATCTTTCAAGAACCATTTGCTTTGTTTGGGAGAGATATGCAAAAGTCAGATAAATATAACTATTAAATATAAATAGTTTCAAACACTATTGTAACCATTAAAGTTGGAGACAGAAATAAGACAGTTCTGCAAAGTTTTAGTATTGGTTAGGTAGGGTGCTCTTGCAGTATTTAAATTTATAAAAGGAACAGGACAAACTCAGGATCCATGTGAATACACAAACTACAAACACTCATCCTTTTGTTCTCTTAGCCAATAAAATCTTATCAGATATGAAAAAAATTGAGTTGTAATAAAAAATTAAGTGCCAAGACTAGCCTGGGCAACTTGGCGAGACCTCATCTCTACAGTTAAAAAAAAATTAAGTGCCTGTAAAAAAGTGAAGGAAATAAAAAGACCATGATCGAAAATAAAGAAAAGATTCTGAATTATAATGGAGTGAGAACTACCCAAACAAAGAAATGGGCAGAATGCAAAGAGATGGAAATCTAAGAAAAGTCTAAAGAGCCATGATTGAGGCTGGTAGAAAAGTCTACATCTTGGCAGTGTGGCGATTTCTGAAAGAACTAGAAATTGACCTTCTATATGACCCAGCAATTCCCCTATTGGAAATATACCCAGAGGAAATCAAATCATTCTACAAAAAAGATACCTGCACACAATATCACAAACATGGAACCAACAATGTCAAAACTAGACTGGATAAAGAAAATGTGGTACATATACACAATGGAATATTATGCAGCCATAATGAAGGACAAATATATGGACTTCGCAGCAACTTTGATGGATTTGGAGTTGATCATACTCAGTGATCTATAACAGAAACAGAGTACCATATGTTCTCACTCATAAGTGGACCTTGAACAATTATAATACTATAAGAAAGCATTTGGCAGTAGTGAAAAACTGTCATGGAATTGGGGTGGGATTGGCAGTTAAGGGAAACTGCTAGGGGAGGGAGGGGCATACCTCATCAACAAGGGTTCCTGCATAATCAATGTTTGCATACGTAACCCTGAATTGTACCCCACATCTTATAATAAAAAAAGTCTACATCTTGGAAAAAGCACTGGAAAGCACATATTATTTTTAATCTTGTTCTTCCGCTTCTCTGTCGTGACCACACTCAAGTTACTTAATCTTCCTGAACTTCAGGGTTTTCCTCATATGTGAAATGGGAAAGAGGGGCCATCATAATTCTTATTCTGTCTTCCTCTTTTTCTCAAAGGAATTGAAAAAAATAGGATGTACAGCACATAGTGATGTCTTCCTGAATGGCATAGTATGGAAAAGGAGGGGAGGGAAGTGAATTCTTTTAGAGTGAGGAAAATTGTCAAGCGTCAATTCTGCTAGGTGACCATAGTCAACATCAACAGACCTAAATCATATGGATGATATGAGTCCTTGATATGATGTGATGAAGATAATACTTTACAATAATGATCTTCCTCTTCAAACCTTTAAGCCCAGTCTATCATGAGAAAAACATGAGACAAATGCTAATATAAGGACACTGTACAAGATACCTGACCAGTACTCCTCAAAATTGCCCTGGTCATGAAACAAGAAAAGTTTGAGAAACTGTCATTGCTAAGAGGAACCTAAGGAGATATGACAATTAAATGTAATGGGGTATTCCAAATAAGATTTTGGAAAAGAAAAAAAGGGCATTAGATAAATACTAAAAATATTAATATCTGAATAAACTATATACCAGTTAATAATAATACAGTAATAGTGGGTTAATTGTAACAATGTAACACTTTTGGGGGGGTATTATCTTTTTGTCTTCTATTTCCCAAATTTGGGCTTTTATTTTGGTGATCTGGAATCTTCTGCTGAAGTTAGGGTTTTGGCAGTTTTGCTTTTCTAGTTTCCTTAGGTGATTTGTTAGGCTGTTAACTTGTGAACTTTCCATTTTCTTCATGTGTGTTCATAGAGATATGAATTCCCCTCTTAGTACTGATTTCATGGCATCCCAGAGGTTTTGGTAAGATGTGTCTTCATTTTCATTTGTTTCCAGGTATCTTTTAATCTCTACAATGTAACACTTTAATGGCTAATGTAGAATGCTAATAGTAGGGAAATTATATATGAGGAAGGGGCTATATGGTGTGTGTCCTCTGTTCAATTCACTTGTAAATCTGAAGTTGTTCTTAAAATGTTGTTTATCAATAAAAACTTAAACAAAAAGAAAAATTACTAAATGCAAATAAAAATCACCCTAAAATATATTCTTGCCATTACTGTCAGAATTCCATGTGTAACGCAGGTAATGTAACTGAAAACAAGCTCTTTACAACAATATAATTTTTCTAAATATTATTGGGGTCAATTAAAGAAATAGAAGAACAGGTAAAGATATGCTTATAGGGAGAAAATTTTAAAATTTAAAGTTGTTGAAAATTAATGCAAGCAAAGATGCATTTGTGGAAAAAATGAGTACCTAAAGGATTTTAAACAAGTAAAGTCATGATGAGAACACTTACTTTACTTTGATTTATACACTGATTGAATGTGGGGAGTGATGGAACAAAATAAAAGAGAAAACACTACTAGTATCTGTTTGATTCTACATG